TTCAATTTCCACCATCTACTTTCAACTCCCAACACCTCAACTTCAACCTCAACTTTCAATTGCCAGCAATACTTGAAAGAACGTCAAGGTATTTAGAAAAGAAAAAAAAAATTTTTTTCGTCAAAAAAAAAAGTTTCAATTTTTTTTTATCGTGGGAAAAAAAATCGATTTTTTTTACTGATTTACCATCTTTTTTCAGGTCTAAAATTGTATTTATAATACAGGTCGAATCGGGCTATGATCATAAATTGTCGGATAACATCATTATTGGGCAAATTTTTGTACAATATTAATTTAGCTCAAACGGACAAATGATCAGCTGGACATGTGCCACTTCATGGCACGTGCCAGCCAATCATTTGTCTGTTTAAACAAAATTACCATTATACAAAAATTTTTGCCTAATAAGTGTATATTATTGGACAAATGACAAAAAATAATAGTCATTTTTTTTTTTGTCAGAATTAATGTCACTCCATGTGCTGCGTAGCAGCACATGAGTGAAATTAACTCTGATGAAAAAAAAAATTGACTGTTATTTGTCATACGTATGTTCAATAATGATGTTATCCGATAGTTAATATGACCATGTGAAGTTTTTTATGTGATATTTTGCAAAATTGATTATGTAATTTCATATAAAAAATATCATGGCAAAAAAATTTATATGATCATATGAAATATCAGATAATGTATACTTATCATCAATTCTATATTTACCTTGATTATTATTTAATTTTTTACTTCTTTCAATTATTTCTTCAGATGAATTTTCACTATTTCGATATTTAATTTCCCAAATTATATTTTGAAATTTTTCTTTGTCACCTTTATGAAAAATAATTTGTGTTGTTCTTTTTTATATATCCTCATCCCAACTACCAGTAAATTCAATAATATAATCTAAACGTCTTTCAAACTGTAGCCAATCACATTGATTAAGCTCTTCTTCATATTGACCAAAATTATATGCATCTTGAGGCAGTTATTTAGCTGTTAAAAATATATATTTTGATAAAAAGGTTCAAGACCTTTGTGTTTTATTTCCACATCATATGGTGTATCATTCAACATATTTATCATATCGTTCCAATTAATCTTTGTATAAAACTCAAGAAGAACCGCTTGTTGACCTTCATATCTATTCCACCAATTATTTTGTTGTTTTGTTGGTTTATTAGCATATAATTCTCCTTTATCTCTAGAAAATAATTCAGTAACTAAACCAGATTTTTCTGAACCTGTAGGTCCATAAAAATAAAAAGTCAAAGGCCAATAAAATCTATTTCCTTTTTTTTTCTTTTTTTCTTTTTGTAAATCTTGATAAATTCTTGTCATCATTTCATAATTCTTACAATATGGTATTTTGTTTTTATTTTCTTTAAAAATTTCAAGAGGAGTTTTATTATCTAACAACATTTCATTACTATCTATTTTGCTAGAATGTTCATTAGCTTTCAATTCATTTATATCTAGTTTTCTCTTTTTAGTATATTTCTTTTCAATTTCTCTAAATTCACCAAATTCAAATAGACTAGTAATTTCTTTTGGTAAAGTATCTTAACTCCAAAATGCATTTTTTCGTTTACATGTTGAATCACATTTATCACATCTGTAATTAATGTTATAATAATCACAATAACAATCTGAATGCTTCTTATAACAATCGTAAGGCTTTAACATATATGCTCTATTTTGAATTGAAGTGCCTTTTAATTTTTTTTGAAATATTAAAGAATTATCTTTTTTAAATATTTCTTTAGCACTTTTAAGAGTTTGTCATTTATTTGAATGAAATTGCATATATATTTGTGCATGTAATTGTTTTTTATCAGTTGGCTCAAATTTCTAACCAATATAAGATATATCATTTTAATTTTATTATAAGCTTCTTGTGTAGTAGGAACTACTCGCTTACATTCAATATTATTTGCTTTACAATAATCACATACAATATCATTATATTTATTTATTAAACAGCAATTTGTACAAGTATCAACTGAATAGTACCAATGTTGAACTTGATATAATTTACAAATTGGAGTACCAGTTTTTTTAAACTTGTCTTCACGAGACTATATATCTTTTTTATTTTTAGTTTTAATACATTTAAATTTTTCTTTACAAGATAAACAATGATATGTTACAGCAAACATATGATAAAATTGATAATTACTCATTTTTTGTTTTTCTACTGAATAAAAAATCAAACTCTTTATATATATTTTATTTATATAGATTACTTTAAAATTTAAATTTTATTATAATTAATACATTAACATTTAATTTTATGACAACATTTTTCATTTAATTTGTTTACACTAATAATATTACAATCTGAATATTGATTGAAATTATATTTTTTTTCAAATAATGATTAACATAATAAAATAAATCTTTCTCAATAAAAATATCTAAACCACGTTTATATTTATAGTAAACCGTAATATTTTCATGTTTACACTAATAAATTCTAACATCTTCACAATCTTTATAATGTGTAAAAAATTTACTAACATGATTAATATCAAAAATTCTTAATTTAAATTCTTGACCTTTTTTTAAAAAATTTGTAAAAAGACTATTTAAAATTCTACATCGATTAAGAGTTTTTTCTAAACAATCTTTCAAAGAATTAATTTGACTAATTTCAAATTCATAGCTTCCTTCAATATAATTAAAAGACAATTTTCCACAAAAAGGACATGTATTAAATCTTCACTCTTTGTTTTATTCTTTTAAGTATCAACGCAAAATACATTTAAGAAAAATATCAATAATAATAATATTATTTTTTTCTTTTATATACACAATTTCTCGTTCGTTAATATATGTTTCATAATTAGGATTATAATATTTTTCAAAATAAATTTTTGGATCTTGTAATGTTTTTTATTAGAAACAATTAAATTTTTTACTGAATTTTTACAGCTTTCTATTTTTTTTATTTAACAGAAAAATACATTCTATATTTATACTTTTAATTTAAAATTTCTCTACGCAATTTAATATTTACTTTTTTAGTAATTCCTAATTAGTTTAAATTACATCATTAATAATCTTGTATAATTTTAAATTTATTCACAGTTCTAACTTTAAAAATTTTATTCTATAATTACAAATTTATAATAGTAATATTTAGATTATTTGTTATATTTAAAATTTATATTATAATTTTTTTAATTTATATTATAAAAAAATTTTTAAATATTTTAAATG